CAGCAGGGAGCCTGCTTCTCCCTCTGTCTGCCACTCCCCCTGCTTGTGCTCTCTCTCTCTCTGTCAAATAAATAAATAAAATCTTTAAAAAAAAATAAAGTGAAACTTAAAAATTATAGACCATGGGTATGCAGTAGGGTTATTAATAATATAAATTACTAGGACTACTTATATTTCAAGAAGATACTAGTAGCTTTCATTCAAAAGACATGGTAAATAGGGGCTCCTGGTGGCTCAGTCATTTGGGCATCAACTTTGCCTCTGGTCTGATCTCAGCGTCCTGGTATCCAGGCGCCACCCCCCACCCCGAGTCGTTGGGCTCTGTGCTCGGTGGGGAGTCTTCCTGTCCCTCTGCCCCTCCTCCCCGACCGTGCTCTCTCTCTCTCTCTGTCTCAGATAAATAAATAAAATCTTTAAAAAAACCCACAGTAAACAGATAATTCTATAAAATCTTAAACACATAACTGAGCAACTTGTAATAATATTGAGAGCATTTATTAAATGACCCTTTAAATGTACTGTGTCTGTCAGTTACAGTATAAATGAAATAAAGCACTCCTTCATCCTTGAGAGCTTACTATCACAGACATAATAGACATGGAAGGTAGACATAAAAAACAGCACACCCCCAAAAAATTAGTTCCAGGGTATCTATTGGTAATAATTAATAATACGTATCAAATAACATTTACAATCACATAGGGAAATTGTTGCCTGTTGTGAGGTGAAGTGAAGCCGATGAGGAAGCATGTTTATACAGGGTGGGGCCAGGATTATTCAGTGAATGTTCCTGTTCAAAAAGGCCTCATGAAGGAGGTGGGATCTTTAGAATTGTTTTAATGAAGGAAAGTGAAATACACTCCAGACACAGGGTACAGTTTATTTCATTCCTTTCTTTGAGGTCACAATATTGTTAACTTTTAATATAAGACAGTGTCTGAAAAACAAGAACTACGGTTATTAATTCTACTATGGTAGAATTACAAGAGTATTTGTAATAATAAACAAGTATTATTTCTGTGGATTGATTTAACCCTTTAACTTGAGAAATAAATATAACCCCTTCTCTAACCATGACTTTATACCGGTAGCCTACATTTACTTTAGATAAGTAACCTGTTTATTTTTTTCTTTTGAATACTTAATGTTACAGAGATTAAGAATTTTACCAATTTGGTATCTAGAAGAGTGACATACAATTTACACTTTTTTCTAGGAATCTATCCTACGTACCAAAGATAAACTGACAAAAATAGAGTAAAATTTATGTACAAGGCTATTCATTTTTACTGTTTGTAATAACAAATACTGCCATATTTTTAATAGCAAAAGACGGGAAACAATCCAAATGTCATTCCGTAGAGGACTATTAAATAAATGGAATGAGGAAATATATAGTATTCTGGAGTGATCTCCAGGACATACAGTTAAGAAAGCAAACTGCAAAAAAGTTTGTATAAGATACTTTTTTGTAGGGATTCCAGGGTGGCTCAGTAGGTTAAATATAAGTAAATAAAATCTTTTTATTTTTTTTAAGATTTTATTTATTTGGCAGAGAGATAACGAGAGAACACAAGCAGGGGGAGTGGGAGAGGGACAAGCAGGCTTCCCACCAAGCAGGGAGCCCGATGTGGGGCTCAATCCCAGGAACCTGAGATCATGACCTGAGTCGAAGGCAGACGCTTAACAACTGAGCCACCCAGGTGCCCCTGTAAATAAAATCTTAAAAAAAAAAAAAAAAAAAAACTTTTGGGGGGCCCCTTTAAAAAAAACAAGGTAAACTTAACAACCCCAAAAAAAAAAAAATCTTAAAATCATCAAATAACCACTGGTTAGTTCAGATTTTTGCCTGTTCTAGTGACTTTAGAAACATAATATTTTAGGGGCGCCTGGGAGGCTCAGTCGGTTAAGCATCTACCTTCAGCTCAGGTCATGATCCCAGGGTCCTGGGATCGAGTCCCGCATTGGGCTCTCTGCTTGGCAGGGAGCCTGCTTCTACCTCTGCTTGTGCATTCTCTCTCTCTCTCTTTTCTCAGACAAATAAAATCTTAAAAAAAAAACAAAACATAGTATTTTAAGCGCAATATCAAAGAAAAAAGACACAAACTTTAAAAAAGCAAAGATGGAGGGGTGCTTGGGTGGCTCAGTTGGTTCGGCGACTGCCTTCAGCCCAGTTCGTGATCCTGGAGTGCTGGGATCGGGCCCCGCATCGGGCTCCTGGCTCAGCTTCTCCCTCTGACCCTCTCCCCTTTCATGCTCTCTCTCTCTCTCTCAAATAAATAAATAAAATCTTTAAAAAAATAAAAACAAAAAAGCGAAGATGGAGACTTCTGCTTCTGCCATGACAGTAACTGCCCTCCTGCCATCAACAACTATAAAACTATACAAAACATAGCAAAGAACCAGTTTGAGATGTTGGACAATATGCAGCACAGGATGGAGAAACAAATCAGGTGAACCCTATGACTGCCCTGGCTTTTTGCATGGTGGTATTTTCCAGATGATGGTATAAGGAGAAAGAACTCGAGCAGAGAACAAAGTTCTGGCTGATTTGAAGAGTAAGAAATCAGAGCTCAGGGAGACGAAAGTGGAATTTTTGTCTCGAGATGGCGGATCTACTCAAAAAGAGCTATAGAAATCTACATCGATTTGGCCGAATAGTAAAGTGTAAATGCACATATTGAGACCTTACAAAGCCAGGCAAAGAGCATCTAATAAGGAAAGAACAATTACTGGGAAACTGTAAACTGAAAAATTGCCAGAGCTTAAATAAGGCTGAGAAAAGTTCTGACTACCTCAAATGGAGAATACCTTGGGGCATTTAATAACAGACTTCAGAAAGGTCACATCTTGGTAGTAAAGCTAGACTAGACCTGTCCCAATAAAGGTTAAAAGAAGAAAATTTAGAATCAAATTGATCCATAACTATTTTAGCTATCTGCTAAGTTGAAATTCAACATTCTTTTTATTTATTTATTTTTTTAAGATTTTGTTTATTTATTTGACAGAGACACAGCAAGAGAGGGAACACAAGCAGGGGGAGTGGGAGAGGGAGAAGTAGGCTTCCCACGGAGCAGGGGCTCGATCCCAGGATCCTGGGATCACGACCTGAGCCGAAGGCAAACGCTTAACAACTGAGCCACCAGGCGCCACCTCAACATTCTTTTTAAAGAAGGTGACAAAACCTAGACACTCAGCATACAGAATTTCCAGCATTCAGTGAAAATTACAAGACATGCAAAAAAGCATGAAATGATACCAGATTAGAAACAGACCTAGAAATGATAGAGATTAGAAAATGGACCAATAAAAAGTTTAAAAAAAAAAAGCAAGTACAAACATGCTCAAGAATTTACAAGAAATATGGATGTGGAAGTAAAAGGATGAGAAATGCTATAGTATCACAATCACTAATCACAGGCAACTTGGAGTGGTTATTAATATGAGATGATGTAAACTTC